TGTTTAATGCTGGTAAAATAAGTGATGCTAGAGTACTTAGTAGATTCAACAAGCAGTTTCTGTTTTATGGTAACAAGTAGTAAATGTGTAACTGTTTGTTTTGGCTTCTGTGTTTGGAAAGCTTTTATGTGATCTGTAGCTTCAGTCTAAGCCACTGGTTAAAAATAAAATGCTTCAAACATAATACAGAAAAATAATTGAGTCCTTGTATCTGATTCTGTTGCAGGATGTAGCAGGTGCGCTTTCAGTGGAAGAAATCACAGAACTGCTGAGTCTCCACAAACTCTGCTGTGGCCGCAGCTGGTATATTCAGGGTTGTGATGCCCGAAGTGGTACAGGACTTTATGAAGGATTGGACTGGCTTTCAAGGCAGTTAGTGGCTGCTGGTGTCCTGGATGTGGCTTGATTTTACAGCAGCTGCAATTTAAGGTTGTAGTTCATTGTTTTATTTTGTTTGCACGATTCAGGAGGTTGTAGCCAGGTCTGCTGTCTGAAGAGGGGACTTTTATTTAACTTGGTGGTTACAGAAGAACATAAACCTTTATCCTAGAATGGATAATCAGTTCAGTAAACTTGTGCTATTATAGTGTTTTTGAAATCTGATACATTTACAATTAATGGAATGGGCTTGTTACAAGGGTGCCTTGAAATTCTTTTTGATGAAATTAGGTTGTTACAATTTAAAATTATTTCCTGCTAAAATATGCATTGGAGTTCATCCAATAATTTTAACAAGGTTAAGGTAGTTAATTGAAGTCAGAAAAATTTTGAGTGGTTTAGAAATACTTTCCCAGGAAACTATTCCAAAATCCATCTCAAGTTACTAGAAAAGCCAGCTCTGTCTATTAGTCAGAAATAAATGGTGCTACTCTTTAATACCTAAAGAATGCATTCATCTAAAAGTGGCATTGAAAATTATGTGCAAATACACCACAAAAAGAAAATGTTTCCCCTGTTATTTGTTAGCTTCCCTGTTTGTTACCAGAAGGCAGCATAACTGCACAAAGAAAACTGAGAATGGGGAACAGTGTTGCAGGGCAAGGGGGCTGTGGTATTGTTTAGCTAGTTGTTTTCTAGTTGAGGGGAGGGGTTAGTTGGGTTTTTTTTGTTAATTGTACACATGCTAAATTATTTATGGATAGACTATAGTGATATTGAGGTGAAAGTGTTTTGTGTGTGCTTGAGGACATAATCTGCCTTTAGAGATTAAGCTTACTCCTCAAGAAGTCAAATGAAGTTTAAAAAAAAAACCTTCTTAAAGAAGTAGTGTGGAGTAATGTCAGTCCAGCTATGTACTCTTATGTAGAAGTCATGCTTCCAGATTAAGGTAATGGCCTTAAAATATTAAATAACACAATGTAAAAGCAGTGTACACTAATTATAACTCTTACTTAGAAGAGCAGATGGTAAAATGTGATGTAAAACTTCCATGGTTAGATTTTCGGTTCTTACTGTATCTTCTACATGGAAGTGTCACCAATGCCTATATTTTCGAAGATTACTCATTCACAAACCCATGAAATATGGGTGTAGCACTGTTTAAATTTAGAAAAGGTTGCAGCAACTTAGTGATGTCTCTTTTTCTGCTGCATATGCAACTCTGCTAACAATTTTATCTGTCTGGTACACGCACCAGAATCTTCTGCCCTCCTCTTTATGTGCACAGCCATTGCCAGTTGAAGAAGCCACGCCATGGACCTCTTCATGTTGGTAGAGGAGCTACAAAGAGCATGGCCAATAGATCAGTGCTGCGTATCATCACTTTTCTTGCTGGAGTGTAGAGGTGAATTGGGAGAACCAGACAGTGGAAAAGAGCAGTGTTGTTTTACAGATGGGTATATATTTTTGCCACACTGAAAAGTGTGTTCACCTGTGAGAGCTCTGAACCTCACCTGGCAAAGAAAGTGTATCATATCATCTGTGGCTATGGCTTTTATTGTAATATTATCAATTTTATGATTGTTTTCCCACTACATACGTTAGGTAAAGCCAAGAACATATAAACAAATAATTTAGTACATTTGCACTTTTTTTTAAGAGGAAGCAGTTAACTACTTCTTTATAATGACACTTACTTGTAGTTTTCTCTTGTTACTTAGATTTCATGTAAATGGTGTTAAATGCAGCTTCAGATTCAGCAAGTCTAATGACTTGAATAGTAGCTGAAAGAACACTGAGCTTTAAAGTAGTTAAATGTTTGTGAAATGGGCTTCCATGCCTACATATGTACATAGGTACTGAGAAGGGGTATTTATTCTTTCTTCAGACAACCTGATAAATTTGGAAATAGTTTACAATGGAGTCAAAGGTGTTTTCTTGCACCTACCGAACTAAAAATTGTTCATCCTTCCCAGCCAGTAACTTCTTGCACAATAGACAGGTCGCTGCTCTGACTTTAGCATCTGCTTAGCCTGTACAGCAGAGCAGTCCCAGACCTAGTTAGGGCTGACTGTCCCTTCATAGCTCTTTTTAAAATATGAACAAGTTCTGCTAAGCATGGTAGATACCTTTTTCCTGGAATACTTTTAACAGAGAAGACATGCATTCTTTAGAAAAATCCTGATTCTGTAATTTTATTTTAGCTGGCTTATGCTTCAGGTATACCTGCCTCTCAGTATAGTTCTTTTACTTTAAAATGTTCAAGGTGACCAGTTTGGATTTTTTGTAACATTACATTTGAGGGCAGAGGAAAAATTCTTACTTATGCATATTTTTTAGTATAAAGGATTGCTTGTGACACGTGGAATGCTACCATAAAAGTGTTTTTAAATTGGATTTATTTAAGATGACTTGAAGTAACTGTGAAAGTGTTGCATTAGTCTGTGAACTCTTCAGTGTAAACAGGTACGCTAAGAGGTTTATTTGTATTATATATTAATACTACACATAAACAGCTTCAGTTATAAATTTAAGCTTGTCTCGCCAGTTTTACTGAACTTTAGTTTTTAGTGTACTGACTTATGCAATATGTAATTGGAATATTTCCTCAACTAGAACTTACTCAAGCATTACTAATTATGAGGATTATTTGAAAAGACTGAGTAACTTTTCGTAGGATTTTGAGTTAATTGTGAAATTGAGTAAATACAACATCCAGTGACTGTGTTGTGGCTTTCTTTAAAGAATCTCAGCTCAAAAATAGTATGTCTATGCTAACTGAAAAATAATGTTTTATCACTTGATATGGTCTTACTGTATGCTACCTTCAAATTTATTGTGGACTATGTGGTACATGAGGGTTTCATTCTGAGATAGTTCTTACTCTGAACTGTTGGGAGTAGATGTGGATGTTACGTAAAGATTTCTTGAAAGGAAGGCCTCTTTTAGTGGAAACAATTCATGAACTGATGCAATTTGAGTTGCTAAGAAAACGAATTCTTCTGGATAAAAGTACCTAAAACTTTCAGAATGAATTTTAATAAACTCACCTTTTTTTGTTGTTGTTGAAGTCATCTCAGAATAGAGGTGTGGTGCATTTAACTTACTGTAGAGTTCTTATTGATCTCTGAAGATATCCCTTCATCTCACTGAAGATAAGCTCCCTACTGGTAGCAGCTTTTGGGGGACTGATGTTGATTAGCATGCATCACATCTCATTTCATGGTTGAAGTCAGCAGAAGTGTAAACTCCTGACTCTTCTGTGAGTGCAGTGGTGTTACGTGGACATAAACAGTCAAAGTTAATGTTACTATATTTAGAGTAGATTTAACTGTCCAGCATAGTAAGAGGACTGTATCTAGGCACAGATTCACAACAGCTTGAGCAACTGCTCTGAGCTTTCATTGAGGACTGCGTCAAAAATGCCCAACGTAAGCTTAGTTGAGATGGTTTAAAATAAATGACGGCAATCAAGTATTTCAGTAGAAGTAGTAATGTTTGTGGAACTTTGGATAAAAATGAAGCCAGAAACAGACTCTCTAGGCTAAAATAATGAGAACGCAAACATTGAAAGAAAAAAACGTTATTGGCAATGCCAAACAAGTTGCACAGGACTTTAGACACTGGCATTCCAAGAGTTGATCTGTGTCCAAGAGCAACGAAGACACGTACACAACCACTTTTAAAGGACCGAGGTAGATTACATACCTTGTCATAGCAAATAGTATCATAACTTAATCTAATTTTTGATACATGTCCATATGATTGAAGAGTTTACACAGCTTAGGATTTCTGACCTTTTCCTGTGTCAGAGATTGCAATACTGTGAGAAGGATTAATTAGATATGAAAGATGCAAATAAACATGAAAAAGTTACAAACTATACCCTGATCGTATTTTATAAACACTATCATGAGACATGGTGTGGGTTTTTATCTTCAGGTTTGCATAGAAGAGACACAAGAAAACAGCAGACTTTGTAAGAAACACGCAGATATTTTTACTTTAAAATACAAAGCTACCAGAAATACAGGCTTAGGGCACTTTAGGTACATTAAAAATATTAGAACTAGTGACTGCTCTGTCCTGGCACTTCTATCTAGGGCAACAAAGCTGGTGAAAGGTCTAGAGGGTCTTACGAGGAGCCGCTGAGGGAGCTGGGGTTGTTTAAGCCTGGAGAAGAGGAGGCTGAGGAGACCTTATTGCCCTCTACAACTACCTGAAAGGAGGTTGTGGCGAAGCTGGTGTCAGCCTCTTCTCCCAGGCAAGTAGTGACAGGACAAGAGGGCACAGTCTCAAACTGCACCAGAGGAAGTTCAGGCTAGAAATGAGGAGGCATTTCTTCACAGAATGGGTCGTTAGGCATTGGAATGGGCTGCCCGGGAGTTGGTGGAGTCACCATCCCCGGAGGTGTTTAAGAACAGACTGGATGTGGCACTTAGTGCCATGGTCTAGTTGACATGGTGGTGGTAGGGCAAAGGTGGTCTTGATGATCCCAGACGTCTGTTCCAACCTAATTGATTCTGTGAATTATCAAAAATGTTTCTGTTCTTTCTATGTCCTTTTTTGGGTCCCATCGTGCCAAGTTTTTTCTACTTAAGCTAGAACCTTCAACTCCTAGTTTACTTCACAGTGATATTAATGATGCTGATATCCTCATAGGGTTTGTCGGTTTTAGGATTGACTTTTACATTTGAGATTCTCTGAACAACTTCCATTCCTTTAGTCACCCGTCCAAACACGCTGTGCTTGTTGTCTAGCCACGGCTGTTTTGAGGGCACAGGAGAAGAAAGAAAAAGCATATTAAAATAGCAAGCAGATGTAGGTTAGGTACCAAATCAGAAAGAAACTGACCTAGAGTAAGTGTACATGGATACATTTTATATTTGCAGACTATGAAACTTAACACCGTGCAAGTATTAGCATGTAAGTAAATATTACAGTGCAGCTAATACAGATCATATACATTTAAACTCACCTTTTCAATTGTTTTCTCAAAGTACTACAGAGGTCAAGTTCCTACAATGCAGTAGCATTTCTTAGTTTTTTTTAAAGTGTCTTCTCAGTTCACGGAAATGTTCTTTCAGTCTATTTCACAGTATTTTCACAGCTGAATTCTAAGTGCCAGTTCAGAATACCACCTACTGTATGAATATGACTTTGAATTATGCCCAATTAGCAATCTGAATGTAGGCACTGCCGTAACTTACTAAGACTCAAAATTATGGTAGATGGGTGCTTTTTAAAAAAAGACACAGGATTTTGAAATAAGTGCTTTAAGAATGCAGTTTCTGTAAGTGCTACGTTTAAGGATTTGTTTTGTATGTTAGATTCACATATCAAAATTTCTTTTTTTGGCTCTGAAACTGTACACAGATTGAAGGAAATGTTCAAACCTGAATGTTGGCTTTTTCTTATACCTGTAATTAGGCACTATTAAGGAGTTAGCCTGGCACCGTATCAAAAAACTTCAAGCAATCCAAGCAATAGCTAGATTTCCATCAAGTTTAAACCAGTATATTAATATTAAATACTCCAGGAATACAAAATTGCAAACATGCCTGATTTACTAAGAATTTCGTATCACCCTTACTCCAATTAGAGGCAAAAGCCTATGGCTCACAACTGACAAAAATACTTTTCTATTTCACAAAGGAAGATTTCAGTGAAGCCCACACTATATACATTATTTGTGCAGCATTTAGTTGCAAAAGAACAAGAAAATATTATTTAGTACTAATGTGTTCTTTTTTCCATCAGAGAAATATTCTTACTATCTAGTTAGCACCTCAAGCCTTGAACTGAGCTTTTAATATTACTTACAGTTGGCACTACTGTTACAAAAAACTGGGATCCATTGGTATTTGGTCCTGCATTAGCCATGCTGAGTGTGTACGGTCTGTCATGTCGTAAAGTTGAATGAAACTCATCTTCAAATTCTCCTCCCCAAATACTTTCACCTCCCATTCCTGTACCAGTTGGGTCACCAGTCTGAATCATGAAACCCTGCATAGAAATTAAATGTTATTACATCACTGCACAGAATAAATAAGCAACAGCATTTTACGCCAGGTGACATTTTTTTCAAACTTACCTCAAACCTTTCAACAAAATGTGTTAAAATGCTGTGGATAAGGGACAAAGCATTCAGTGATGGGGACAAAGCTTTAAGTGATCATCAAGTACTTGTAAAAAACCAAGCTTACTCACTGTTCCTGCTAGCAAAGGACAGAAACCTGACTATCTGTACTTTCTGCAAACACTTAGGCTTTATCAGCGTGATTCTGGTGCAACAGAAATAAGAAGCCTTACAAGAAATGCCTTCTGACATGAAACAGAGTCTTAAGTCAAGCAGGATCACTGAATTGAGCTTTCTCTCATTTTTCAGATTTCTTCCATCTTGTCCGTTGCAGAACAACTATTAAACAACTTCAGTAACTGATAAAGCTGTTTAGGACCTCAGAGTTGTTCAGACTTTTCAGGAACTCTGAAGTCATTCCAGAAATCCTTTGTGCAAAAGGGAAATGAAAGTCTTAACAGAGAGGACTGACCACAAAGGCACATTATCTAAACCAACAAAAAAATTAACTTTTTACAAGTTACCTTGATGATACGGTGAAATATGTGTCCGTTGTAGTAACCATTTCTGCTGTGCACACAGAAGTTTTCTACTGTTTTGGGGCACCTAAAATCATGTAACAGAAAATACAGGCTACAATAAATATTTGTGTAGTGGCACAGCCACAAAGATTTCAGCTGAGACCATGATCCTGTTGTACTGAGCAGTGTTTCAGCACACTGTAAAAAGGGCTTTCAACAAATAAGGAAAAAACCAAATCCCCACCTCCTCAAACCCAGAGCTGGAAGCAAGAAAACTTGAGAGGAGTACAAAGTTGCATGATTACACAGGAAGGCAGCAGCAGTGTTGATAACAGCAATATTTTAGCTACTGCTGAGCAGTGCTTACACAGCATTGAAGTCTTTTCCGCTCCTCACCCCACCCCACCAGTGAGGAGGCTGGGGGTGCAGAAGGAGTTGGGAGGGGACACAGCTGGGACAGCTGACCCCAACTTACCCAAGGGATATTCCATACCGTATGGCATTGTGCTCTGCAGTATAAAGCTGGGGGAAGAAGAAGGAGGCAGGGGGGTGTTTGGAGTGATGGTGTTTGTCTTCCCAAGTAACTGTTATGTGTGATGGAGCCCTGCTTTCCTGGAGATGGCTGAACACCTGCCTGCCGATGGGAAGTGGTGAATTACTTCCTTGTTCTGCTTTGCTTGGCTTGCATGGCTTTTGCTTTACCTATTAAGCTGTCTTTATCTCAACCCATGAGTTTTCTTCCAAGTCTCTCCCCCATCCCACCAAGGGTGATGTGAGCAAGTGCCTGTGTGGGGATTAGCTGATGGCCACGGTTAAACCATGACAGTCAGGAACCAAATCTATTTCCTGAAAAGCCTAGTTCAAGGCACCACTGATTAGATGTTCCTTCCCCAGCTTTCTACTTACATAGTTTATTTACAAAATCAATTAAGGAGTGTATGCTCCATAAACAGAAAGTTATTCACTCTTTCACCTCTATAATTCTATTAAGCTATATACGTAAGGTGTCCAGTGTTACATAGAAGTAAAACCTAAAAATACAATGTTTTAGTATTATAGAACTTGCAGTCAGTTATCCTCCTCTGAAACTACTCCCAAACATTGTCTGGAAGTGGGTTGAAGAGGTGAAATATTACTGTTGATGGAATAAAAAGGGAAAAAAAGAACCAACCAACCCCTTAATCTTTGTGACTTGATTTTTTACTTCTAAGAGATTTGCTACCAGAGTGAAAATTCTTTGCGATAGCTCTTCCACTAGTTTTATAAAATGGATTTAGTAACTAGGGTAGATCTACATTGATGGGTTTATGCAGTCACACACATTTTCCCAGCAAATCATAAAATAGCCACGTTGAGTCCATAACTGTAGAGTTACTTTAGCTGTGAGAAGTAACATTAGCTTGGGCTTAGTGATACTCTAAACCATCTCGTGAAACAGAGCACCAATGGCATAATTAATGAAACAGACAAGATCATAGTCCTGGTTCCTGCACAGTACATAGTCATTGTCCTGTTTTTGAGTAAAACAGCACCATTTCTCCTTTCAGAAGAAACTTAACTGAAGGAGAACCTACTAAGTAACTGTACTTTCTGAAGCTGACTACAGGTTTTTCAGACAGTTCTTACTAAGGTAATGGTGGGACTGGTATGCAGAAAGGCCCACGTTTGTATTTATGCCTGTGGGAATGAAGGTCACTGCTGGCTCCCTTATGGTCCACAAGTGAAAAGGCATAAAAGGGTCGCACCTGCAGGAAAGTGTGGACAGGACAGGTGACCAAAAACTGACCAATGAAGTATTCCATCCGATACACATCATAGTATAAAGTTAAAGGATCACAGGGGTCGGCCCTTCTTCTTTCATGGCTGGCATCGCTGTGGGACCCTGCTCGTTCTTCTGCCTCCATTCCCAATCCATGTATTCCTGAATCTGGTTCCTGTCTGTTGCAGGATCCCATCTGGGATGTCTGGGTGCCCACCCTGCCACATGAGCACTGCGAGCCACTGTGGCACACAATCCCGTGATCATCACTGGGAAGCTCAGTATTAGTTTTGTGTATTTTTATTTCTAGTAGTAGTAGTAGTATACTCTTTTTCATTGTTATTGTTTTATTAAAGTAGTTTTAATTTTTGAACCCATAAGTCTCTCTCCTTCTTCTCCTTCCCTTCCCCTTCTGGGGAAGGAAGGGTTTAATAGTGAGAATCTGTCATCTGCTTTAATTGCCAGCCCAGCCTTAAACAGTGATCACAACTTTATTCTACGAGCACATGGCCAAAGATTTAAAAGGCATACAAAGCCCCATCCTATGTGCCCTTCTTTAAATTTTTAATCACGTTCATCTTAAAAGAGATTTTAAAATTCAAAGCTCAGCTGGGAGGAAATACCAGAACAAGAAAGGACAAACCTAACAATAACCAAGCCTAGTAATACTGTATTTAATTTAAAATTGCATACAAAACATTGCAGTGAAGCACCTAGCAATACTATGCCTATGCATGCAAATATAGTGATGCACTGGCATGAGAATTAAAAAGAAGTCAGAAATAATGTAGCTTGGCCTGCACTCACTGGCAACGGCGGTACCACTACTGCAATCTCTATGTTACAGTTAAGAAATTCCAGAAACTAGGGCCTGATGCAAGGAGACATTGGTGAAGAGCACAGTAAAAGACTAGCAGCCCTACAGGGCAGAATTGAGGTTGTGTTGCGTTACCTGTGCTTACAAAAAAACATGAATTTGTTTTTGGAGAAGCATGGACTACACTTAGATGGTTTAAGTTTCAATGTATAGCAATATAACATATTACATAAATTTACTGTTTCGTAACAAATTCTTTGCATAGATGAGCATCACAAAGGAGAGGTGCTGACACAATAACTTTAGCAATTGTCAAGCATAAAGATCTTTCCATTATATGCCTGGTTTTGGATGTACACAGCGCTAATATATGCTGGTATAAATTTTATGTTGCTCTTGAAGGGACTGCCATAACATAAAATGTAGCGCAATGGCCACCTTTGAAAGTTGCAAACTACTATTCCTCTGGCTTACACAGACTTACTGCCAGATCTACTGCTGCTGCCAGCATCACCATTCTTTTTCAAGATGGGATCAAACAGCATTGCCTTACAATAATATGTAGCTTACACAGAAGAGCATCATGACCCATCCACATCTGTGGTTCAGAGAAAGAACAAAAGTTAAGAAAGGAATAAAACCCCTGAATCATTAAATAAAAGCAAAAATCATTAAAAAAAAAAAAGCCCTGTGCCCCCAACTGTTATTTAGACCTATTTTTACCCTACTTTATTTGTGTGTGTCAAGAGTCACGTTCCTAGATTCCTGAAAGTTTCTTATGAAGCAAGGACCGTAGAAAAAGGGGAAGAAAAGAATTATTCTTAGCTTGAAATGTAAGTCTTGGATACTGCCACCAAAAAGCACAGAAGGAAGGAAAAATGAAATAACAAAAACACTACCAAATACATACTCAACAGGAAAAAGCTTGATATGAATATCTCCCATGCTTGTGTGGATGATGGCACTGTCTGAAACTCTTTTGGGACCTTCTGCCTGAGTAGCTGCCATGACCTCTTCTTTAGAAGGTTTCTCATTAAATACGTCTCTGTCAGAATCTGCACTCTTCGTATCTTCTGGTTCACGTTTAGTAAACTAAAGAAAATAGAAGGTTAACTGTTTAGTTTTTTCTTTTTTCCCCTTATATTACACACTGCTCTGTACCCAAGACATCATTATGATTATTCAACCTGCTAAACACCCAACTAGATTTGAAATGTATGAAGAGAATTCATAGACAGTCTATCCTTGCATTTCAGTGTTATGTTATCAGCATTTCCAGCCACAAATTCCAGTACAACTACATGCAAATCCAAGTAACGTTTTATAATCTGTTGTCTTTAAACTTCCTCCCCCTTTCAACAGAAAGCCCACAGTAGTTCATCATCTTTTCTTTAAAAAGAGTGGAGAATATCAAGTTGTTCTGTAATATTCAGAAAAAAAATGGCAGGTTTCATCACAAAACTTTTAGTTTCACTACAAAGTCAAACTAAATCCTCTTATTCCAATACTGCAAAACTATAGAAAACTAGCGAATTTAATTCAAATCAGGAGAAATCTCAGAAATGTAATTTTTATAGTACTTAGAGGGAAACAATAAATATGAGTACACGAGCATCTGCTTAAGTCAGTTGCATGCTTACTTACATATCAAATGACAATCACTAATCTTTCTGCATGCATACAGTCACATTTTCTCTAACAGTGAGTTATGTTTCCAGATTTTGTCTTTTTCTCCTCCCTTGTCAAATCATTCAGAGTAGTATATTCCATTATATACTACACATTAACCACACAAAGCTTTAGAAAGTATACTATCTTGCTCCAACAGAAAACAGGATCAAATTCAAGCACAAGTAACAACAGACAGACTGATCTCTAATCCCTGTGGTGATCACATCCCAGATCAACTACTAATTATTCTGGAATTGCGTGTCTGGCTTATTCATTGCATCTCACCTAAAATCAAAATTGTGAACAGGAAGATGATTTCTGTCTTAGTTGGTTGCACATAATGTCCTTGGTGCTACCAAGTCCTGACAATGCTCTGAATTTAACTATTTTTAATTACATATCTTATACATACAGTTAATTATTGTTTCTTTATCAGTATAAGATCTCGTTAGGTTTTTTAAATGTTCTTATTTAAGGGTTTTTTTCCAACTAGAACAAAAGCATATAACCTTCTCAGAGAACTATAATTTAGACAGCCAAAACCATCCAAGTTTATTTAACTGCTTGAGCAATAATGAAAAAATTAAAGCTGTTTCTAGTCAATTTATAATTAATTCAAAGCTAAAAATTCTAGAATACACCTGCAATATAAAGGGAGTCCTCTGGAAAAGTTATGTTCACAAATACTCAAAACAAAGCACTGGAAAGGTGCAAGGAGAAAAATAAACAATAATGCAGAGAAAATATCAATACAAGAATGGAGTTATTTAAATAGAATCCACACACACCATGTAAAACCTATTTTTTTTAAAAGCTGTGCAGATTACTGTCGGATCTGCCTGGATATTCTGGAGAACAGGATTTTCAGATGCCTTCATCTCTATAGTGATTGCAGCACGATGTTTCTTTGCTACTCCTTGGAATAAAGCTAGTTGCATCATTCTGATGTTCTCTTGTTTCCCCAAGATACGAATACACCTGAAGTACAAGATGTAAAAAGGTGTTAACTACTGTTAGCTGCTCAGAGTCACAGAATGTCTCCTTTCTGACTGCAACTCAAAGCTAAATTCCGAAACTCTCAAAATAATTTTTTACTAATTGTTTTTATGATGCTTCTCTATTCAAACTTGCTACATAACTTACTAGTCAGCCTCCTTATGCAATAAAATCCCAACTGCATGATCCACGTTTACTTTACATATCATATCCAGTTAGCCAGAGATGAATTGATTACACATTTTTAATACAAATATGTTTGCCATGTTTTCTCCTCATTTTACTAAGCTTTAAACTGCAATGACTCATTACAAAGCATGGCAGTATCTTATCTACAGTCTAACGTAAGGCTCCCAAATAACAACAACAAAAAATATTAAGAGACCCCCACAGTCATACCAAGTTTTAAATATACTACAAATTTGACTGAATGTAGACTTTGAAACAAACACCTTTATCTCAGTGTGTGTCACTGGAACTTACCTGTTAGTCTCTACATTTATGACCTTAATGCCCAACATTGTTCCATAGAGAACGAAGTGTCCAGTCTCATCAAAAATTATATTAATTAATCTTACTGCATCAACTTTCTCCAGCTCACGCTCAACTGCCATACGTCGGCCAAACTCCATGTCTGGTAGTTGCTGTCTCATTTGCTGAAGTTCAGTAAACATCTGAAAAGAAAAGAAAAAAAATCACTGTTAAATGAACATATTTTAAACTTTTGATCCAGCAAAACACTGATCCATATGCTTAGAAAATACAGAATTCAAGTGATACCACCCTACTCAAACTTAACTGAAGAATTAAAATAAATACAAGTAATACTCTTTTTACTTTAATGACCCAATAGGCATGTTGCAGTATTAGGCTTAAGCAAAGAGAAGTGTGTAGCTGTCTAACAAATTTCTTAGATGACAAATCTAATTCATTATTATGATGTTATATGAAATGGGCATTTTCCATAATTGCTTTCTAGTAAAAAGTAATCTAGCAGTATGAAAACACAGATTAAAATCAACAGCTCAGTTTCACTACATAACTAACATCAATCAGCATGAATTAATTTTGGGGCAAAGCAATACAAGAGGCAAGGAAGAGAACATGGAAAACCCTCTCTGCAAGAAAAATACAGCTAGGAAGCTCAGCTTTAGAAACAGATGATAACTTAAGTGAATGTGCTGGTAAATAAATTCAAATAAGTAGAGAAAGCTTCAAAAAAAGAGAAGCAAGACCAAACTCACACTCAATGATTCATCAAAGACTCTCATGAGCTTCCCCGTCAAAAAACGGAAAATTCTAACTTTTCTGTCAGATCCAAGAGTGGCCATTTTCTTGCCGTCAGGTGAAAAACTTATACTGGATGGGTAAGCCTTGCATTTAGCAAATTCATACAGATCAGTATCTGTTTTATACTCCCAGTTCACATTCTTGGGAAATTTATATTCATGCGGAGTTCCAGTCCAATACTCGATCATTCCAGATTTGTCAGAAGACACTACTACTTTGTAGACAGGGTTCAACCGTATCTGAGTAAGAGGGGATGTATGGAGTTTATCAAAAACATGAAGTGGCTGGTTATTTCCTCGTCCATCATATATGAATATTTTTCCTGTGCTCTTCTCAGATGTTGCAACAGAAGATATGGCATCTCCAGGGCAATATACCCATTCACATTGGCCAGGGTAGTACCTGCAACACAGAGAGGAAGGAGGGGGCAGAAGAAAAAAAAAAAAAAGTAATTGAATAATGTTACTTAGGTAAGAATCAAGTTATGCTATAAACTTGAAATCAATATCAGAAGGAAATTTTGAACTTTATTTACTAGTCTTGCTAATATTTGTCTTGCTAAAATTCTACAGTGTTATAACCAAGTTTTTGCAAGCAACACAATTGAGTGGATGGTTCAGCCAATTTCTGTTGCTCCCATACTGTTTTATAAAGAGGCTGTGATAGAAAGTGAAGGGAGAAGGTGAGTATAAAAGAACAAGGATAGAAATCCAGCTAAATAGCACAAGTGGCATTAATGATTACCACTTAACTTCTATGACTCAATAACATTTCTATCTGTTAAGTCATTAATGCTTCACTGGAAATGAGGACAACTGCACCTTTGCCATACACTCACAGAAAAGTTCAACTAGGTCTTGCCAAAAATGAAACAAAACAACAACCAAAAAACCCCAAAATGCAATATAAGTAAAATTAAGACAATCACTCTATATTCAAAACGCATTCTGAATGTGTTTAAGAAGGAACTACTTTGCTACTAGCAAAAACATACTCTACAAATAAAACACGCCAAAGATATTGTTAATAATATGTTATGTCTGCTTTTAAAAAAGTCTGTAAGCAAAGATTTTGAGAACAAGAACTCAGAAACTAAATGACAGACCACAGAGAAATGATACAGTCTCCATAGGAAACTTGTATTTAGTATCTTTTCACAAATCAAACTAACAGATACTGAAGGACTGACAAACGACAGACACTAATAATGTGGATTTTCAATGCCTGTCTGGTAAAGATTCTCATAAAGAGAAAGATAACCAGAACTTTGTCTCAGGTTCACTAGAAAGGATAGGATTAAATAAATACATAAATAAACAAATATGGTGTCCCACTGACCTATGCATCATTAGCCAAAGTTTCTGCAGAAATAGCCGCCTTTCTCCAGATCACTGATGGAAGCATAAAGCACGGAGATTTGCAGACAGCCACACTGTACAGATTAGTTAGAACTGAAAGGATCTGAAGAATTTGAGACAAAGTTCATCAACCCTGCAATATACCAGCATATACCTACCAAAGCAGGCAACGCAAGATAACGGGAGCTGAAAAGACCACAGAGAACTCACGATTGTACATTAAGCACTGCAAGCCTGAGCAAAGAGCCATGAAAAAATTTTCAGGCAGGTCATCAGAAACTATCCACTCAATAAAGACTAACACAGAAGATAGAGCAACAAACATTAAGTTTTAAAAGGCTATTCAGGACAATGCTTATATTACAGCTGTATGCTGTTCTCTTCTTCATTAAAGAGTTCACTTAAGGTAAAACCCAATTAGCTCTGACAAAAATATATGAGGAGAGGAGGGTCTTGATTACTGAGGATGAAAAGAATCTATTTAAAGATAAATTGGGGAACATACTATAGAAAAATCTTACAGGTAGCATTCTCAGGATATCCCTGAAGCAAAATGGATTTAAATTCTACCTCAGTTTTCTCTAAACTCTCAAACAGAAAAAAAGCATCTTCTATTGTAACATCAAATTCAGTTTTTCTTAATACTAAATTCATTTTATTTCATCCTATAATTTTACCAATTTTGTAGTCACAATACCAGCAAAACCAAAAGACTAAGGCTAACTGGAATTTTTGTACAGCAGACAGCCAAGAGGGAATCAATTCCTATAGGCTAAGTACATTATCTGGAGGATGGTACTAAAACTATAACCAGCAAAGCAGGTAACATAAGCTTTTATATAGGCATTCTGAAAGGCCTTTTTTTTTTTTTGCTTTCCCCTGAATTTATACTTCTATTCAGTTTCACAATTAACCAACAAATAACAGACTACTAGGAATAAGATTTCCAATTTTGAAAGGCTTGTGGAAAAATCAGTATTTCTACCATTCTTGGTACAGCATTCACGGATCATCCAACCCTCCAAACCCACCCTTGTAACAGTGTGGGGCTTGTTTTCCTCTGCTATTGTTATAATTCGAATAACATCCATTCCTATTTCTCCCAGATTCTTTAGCTACATACTGTATAACTACAGAAATCCCACAACAGCAAGACTAAAGAAAACAACATTCTTTCCAAAAGAAGAAGGAAATTTCTATTCCTAAGACAACAAATAAGATAATACATACAGGCCAAATCCCTCCTCTACTGGAACTATTAGTTGGGTATCATTTTTTAATTCCATGCCAAACAACAGAAAAATAATTATGTCCAGCTAAGTATTTCGAGAAACATCAGATCTTTGCACATATTTGACACCTAGGAGACGCAAAGACCTACTCCACTTATGCACTGTTGCATACAGAGTCGCAAATTTTTCTATTCGGTCAGGCAGTCTCCAGCCACTGGATGCATTTCAGATAATGCAACTTACTCAGCTTCACCTGACTGAGGGGAAAAAAACCACTCACCCTCAAAAACCCAATTTGTTGGTTTATCTCTTAGTAAAACAACATCAATTTATAATCTCAAACAAACACTTTCAACAACTAAGTAACTTACCCAAGTTTCAGCATGTTGATCATATCAAAGTTGACTACATCAAACACCTTCATTGCTTTGTCATCTCCAACTGAACAGAATAACGCCCCCTCCGAACTAACAGCAATACTCTCAATGACACCTATTAAAAAAGTTAACATATTATTAAGACTCAGGAAAGGGAACATCCTTCATTTCAATGTTCCCCAGGAAAAACCTGCAGAGGTTTAAACCTGTTTCTCAGCTGTTTCTCCAGCTTTTTGATCTAAAAAACTACCTGACTTTAATTTTAAAAAAAACAAAACACCACAAAACAACACTTTGCATCCTATCACTGTTTAGAATCAGATAAATGATAATGAACTACTTACCATATACATAAATTAAAGATTATAATGCAATTATTTTCATTCACAACTTTCATTTTAAAAAACTGAGAACAACATTACGGTATGGTAAAAAATTATGTGCTCATTCAGCTTGCATCTCTCAAAACAGAAAAACAGTAGAACTTTATAGTATTAGAGTTCTGCTATTAACACACATAATGCTCAAAACTGATCTGCAATTGAACCTTTCATATGTTTTTCACAATACTTAATTTTTCCTTGGTAGCCTTTTTTCTCACATTTTACTTCTGTATATAAAGACAAGCTGATGGTTAAGATCAAGAAGCCACCATAACATTTTTTAAACTCTAAAAAGAAACAGTACTTTTACTATCTAGTATTAAATATTTTTCTTATTGTTACAGTCTGCATATCAAACTGTTTTCTTCCATCAGGCATATCACCATTTCTAATAGCAATGAGAACCTCATTTTCTGTCCAGCCTACTTGATGCTTAGCATACTATAGAAGAGCTATGTGTACTTACTAACTCAGAAATCTGGGTTAAAATTAATTCTGATTTGCAATTAAGCTGCTAATCATGACAATGATGCAGAATTTACTCTACAGTTGCAATAATTCCAGATGAAAGTAACCATTTTTTTTTTACATACTAGGGGAAAAAACAAAAGAAACCCGTGGTAATCTTACTTAAAGTAGTATCTTTTTAAACAACTCTGGATTTTATGAACCCTGTCATGTACCTTGTTCATTTATTTTAAAATATGCAGTTTCTTCATGTCCCAGACATTCTCCCCACAGGCAAGGCACAAGACAATGCAAAGGATGTAAGGGGTCTGTGCAGGAGTCCCACGTTTTATTCTCACCCTATCCCTCCTGCAGTTTGGGAGCAAAACGTAACAGGACAGGGGAATGACGGAAGATAGGTAGGTATCATTTAAATCCTGACTCCAGTAAATGAATCCCAGAAACCCTCTCGTCTCTATTTAAACTCCCTCTTCAAACGACTAAAAGCAAAGGAGAGGAAAAAGCAACTTCTTACCAAGGTGACTCCGGAAGTGTTTAACAAACTCAATCCCTTCTTCTATTTTTTTCCAGAATTTTACATGTCCATCGTGACTGGCTGTTATGATAAAATCTGTCCTACAATTACAAAAGAAAAATAACAAAAGATAACACAACATTATGCACTTCACGCTGGACAGTAATTTGCACTATAATTAACACTGCGTAGAGAATGACCTTTAAATAAGTACTGTGATAACCTGTCTGAATAGGTACTATCACTCCCGGAAAAGCAAACAAGTCTGGATTAATCTGTGAAAAGTCTACAGACTAAATTGAAGAAATATATAATACTATCCTTTTTTACTACATAATTTTTTTCTTATTTTAGGTCTGGCTTCACAGTAGTTACTATTTACTAATGTATATGTGCATGTGTGTATACATATATGAAAGAAGAAAGCTATCCTCAATCTGGGCAGTTCTGCTGAATCATATTTTGTTCAGATGCAATTAGCTGCTCTTATTCCTGTATATATTGCACATTGCCATAAGGATTTTAAGATCCTCTTTTAGTCTATTTAAACAATTTTTATCTTGCTTCTCAGTAACTCCTTTCCTTCACACTTAGTTTTTTTTTTAAAAAAAAAACTTAAAATACCGCCTCTGGACACAGTAACTTTCCATTATTAAAATTCTACAATGAAAACTTCCTAGCATATACAAAAATACATCTCTGACAATGAGATAGAGTGGAAAAAAAAAAAAGACACTTACTTAGTACATGCCACATGTGTAATGACATCTCTGTGCATGTAACTGCGTTCATACATCGAAGCACATGGTAGATTTTCAAGATAAACGTGTTCAAATTCAAGAACTAAACAGAATAAAAAGAAAAATCAGGAATTTTTTTTTTTTTTCAGAAAGGTACACCTAGCTTCTGTTGTGCCTTACTGACCCCTGAATAGCTTATTCCCACTTTAGTCAAGAATATGCTAGGATTTTGTGCAAACGTAATTAAAGGCGTCCACTGTCACTTTGTACTCAGACTTACAGATTCTTGGTAGACTAAAGCCACTCAAACTCTGCTTTAACACATACAGATGTCCTCTTTTAATGCAACTATTACCTTGGCTATCTGAATGTATAAAAAAAAATTCAATACAATTTTAGGTTACTGCCAGAAAACAAAAGGTCATTTGCACCTCATTTTCTTCCAGAACCAAATGTATCCCTGTTGCTAAGAGATTCAAGGTCCCATGCAGGAAACCGTAGCTTAAATTCTAAGTGCTAGCACCTACCCCTTCATTGTTTAACTGACTCACCTAAAACAATCTGATTTTCTGCTTTTGTCTCCGATTTTTACATCCTAACCGTTAATACCTGCACAATGGCATTTGTTACTGAATCGGCAGATCTGCATCTATTGAACATCGTTAAACTCACATTTACTTTATGTGATATCCAAAGTGCTGTGAGTTGCCGCACACATCAATACCACAGGTCGAAATACTGCCTAGAGGCCTATCCTACTCCTCCAGCTTACGCAGTCACCCAGAAGACAGTTAACTCCACAGCTGTAAGCACCATGGCTTCAGCAACGCAGAGACTGCAGAGTGGGGCCTCTTACCCTGAGGGCGTCCTCCAGAGGAAGCAGAAATAGGGTGTCCCCGGACTATAATTCTACACCCGAGAGATCCCTCCACTGCCCAGTCATTTTACCTACAAAACACCGCTTCAGACAACAGGCTTCC